AAAAAGGAAAAAAAAACCACTGGCATGTTATTATAAAACCAACATGAATTTCATTTCCTGATACATAATTTTTCTTTTTTTTGATAAATTTTTCCAACAGTGTTTTGCATGACAAGATGGGATAAATAAAATAAATAACAAAATGAAGCATCAACATTTAGAAACACTTATTTTAGATTGTCCCCCCACCCCGATTCACACACACTTTCACAGCAGCACTCTCTGTCAGGATGGAGCCTGTGTGTCAGTCACTGTCAAACGTGCAAGGTTGGCATGGAGCTCACCTGAAGGCCCGTCCTCTGCCTCTGGGGGGGGTGTAGCCACTGTAGTAGCGTGCCCTGGATGAGAAGTTTCCTCCCCGTGAGCGGAAGCGGGCCCGAGGGAAACCGCGGTCTGTGGTGCTAATGCCAGGACGATTTGTTCTCTTGGCCCCAACCTGTAAGAACAGTTGGGAAATTTATGATTAAAATTTCAAAAGACTCCAAAAACATTTTTAATATATTATTAAATTTTTTTAATAAATGACATATTAAAAAAGGTAAAAAATTAACTGAAAATGTAAGTGTTTGCCAATCCTTCATAAAGCATGTGTGCTACATTTCTACAATAATAATATTTGTTGCTTAAACAGAATTATCAGTTTTATGTTGACTTTGAAAGTCAAACATTTATTAGCAGCATTAGTTAGCAAGTTTGTAATGCCTCATCTCACCTTAATCTGCCTTCCTCTGAATAAGGACTCATCCAGTGCCATGGCTGTCCTAACAGATTCCTTGTCTGCAAACTCTATATATGCAAACCTGAAACATGAAGAGGGCAAATGATCAAATGAGGGCAGGTGAGGTCAGTTAAAAAAAATAAACAAGCAAGCATATATATACATATATATCTAATAAATAAATAAATATATATATATATACAATGAAAATCGCATTCGACTTTTTGCAAAGCCCTAATATATGCACCAAAAAACTAAATATGCATTAGGGCTGCGCGATATATCGAAAATATCGAAATACCGCAAATGTAAATATCGCGACATGCAATATCTAAATAATTTTAATAATAGGCTACTCAAATCAAAAAATCTAAACGTTTGTGACACACACACACACACACACACACAGAGAGACGCGTTTCAGATGGCGCGTGAACACCGAGTTGATTCGTCTTTCGCATCTCCTCCTCCTTATGTCTGAACAGACACATACACACAGAATTATGTCAATAGTACCCGTCTCGACGATCATTCTCGTAAACGCAGTCAGGGAAAAATAATCGTTTTTTCGATGCATCATTGTTCCGCATTAAACGATTCTGAATCGATGCAGAGATTTAAATAATCGATGTTTTAAGTTTAAATGAAAAAAGTCAGATTTGTGCTCGTTTGCAATACATTCTATCGGAATTTGTCGGCCCCACGGCCACAGAGATGAGTGCATGCGCTACTAGCACGTTTACGTGTGTTTCTTACGTCAGGCGTAGTACGTCTGCGTTTGCTGAGGCGCTAGTACGTGACAAAATGGCCGAAGCTACACACATTAGAGCGGCACCTGCAACGTTAAAAGCCGACGTTTGGAAGCATTTTGTTTTTTTAGAAAGGGGTGGGAAAAATAATCATTTTTTCGATGCATCGTTGTTCCACATTAAACGATTCTGAATCGATGCAGAGATTTAAATAATCGATGTCTTAAGTTTAAATGAAAAAAGTCAGATTTGTGCTCGTTTGCAATACATTCTATCGGAATTTGTCGGCCCCACGGTCACAGAGATGAGCGTATGCGCTACTAGCACATTTACGTACGTTTCTTACGTCAGACGTAGTACGTCTGCGTTCGCTGAGGCGCTAGTATGAACACAATGCAGTGTTAGTTTACACTTAATTATTAAATTTCTGTACCTGAATATTACTGTTTATTTTATCTATGCTTGTAAATTGTGTATTTGTTCTTTTTCCCCCCTTTTTCTTTCTTTTTTTACTGACTGTTCACTTGCCTTTAATCATGTTTGAACTTTCTCAGACTATAGTTTTTGCTTTGGTATATGAATAAGTACTTAAAGTGTATGGAATGCAAAGTCACAATGATTAAAAATTAGTGTCATTCATTTTTTTGTCATTCACATTGATGTTAAAATTACATTTTCTGATTTGTGACATTACTTTTTATGTACTGCTAAAACACTGCTGGTCACTTTCAGAAGTTGTAGTGATTCTTTCTTTTCCAAGAAAGAATGTGAAACTAATTGGGTATACAATTTTCATTTTTAAATATTTTAAAATATAATTTAAATAGATTTTTCACACTTTAAGCAATATCGTATCGCATATCGAATATCGCATTTTTTAACAAGGTATCGCGTAGCGCATTTTTTTTCAATATCGCACAGCCCTAATATACATAGTTAAAAATTTATTAAGATATGAACAGTGTTCAAAGTAGCTGTGATTAAAGCATTGCATTAAAAAATGACCCCATGCAATGATTCAAATTATTCATGGGAGCAGCTTGAAAACACTGTGCACCAGAATAGCACAAAAGCTAAAGAACATTCTCACACTTCACAGTCTCAAGTCGATATATAAAAAGTGTAAAATCATGCAACATAACAAAAGACCATACTAATTACTGCAATGTGGCTATTCAAAAAGATAAACAATTATGTTCCAACCGATTCTGGTGACAAGTTATTTTAAGGTAAAATAATTTGTGATTAATAGTGTGCTTTACTGTTCAAAATTTCAGAACATCTGAATAATATTTCAGGGGCTACTGTTCATTTTGTGGGTTGAGGTGATGCATCAATGCCTACTCTAACCTACAGTGCCTATCCGGAGCAGATGCTGCAAAACAGAAGAAAATAAGATGCCCAAGAAGACGACGAATGTTGTAGGTTAAGAGAGAAAAACCAACAGAAGAGTGCATGAATTACCCTTTGGGGTGTCCTGTAAACTTGTCACACAAGATGGTGACTCTGTTTACGGAACCGCAGCCATGGAAATGCGCCTCCAACTCCTCTGCCGTCGCACCATAATCCACCTGCAAGAGACAAAATCGAATCAACACCACTTCTAAAATGTCATTAAATCAATCATGATAAGGAAAATATTACATGCGACATATAAATGCAACAAAATACATGAATATAGCTTGTAGTTAAGTCGGTATAAAAATAATTGCCCATACATTTCCAACGTAAATAGATCTCCCATCTGCTTCCATCTTCTCTTCAATAGACATAATGACAGGGCCAGCTGCAAAGAGAAAACACTGTATTCCCATGCAACTCCAACACTCATGCATTTATGTGATTTAGCACAGAAACTAGTGTCTGCAAGCTTACTGCATAGCTTCACAGCTGAAATCTAGGTTACGTTCTGTTTCTAGTCATAACTCAATTGACCTCAAATGGTCCAGAGCTAGTTATTCTTCTCCCTCTAATGCAGTCCTATTCACCAGTACTGCCTGTTCTGCAGTGCTCTCCCTAGAGCTCAATCTTCCCAGACTTGCCCGTTCACCCTCCCTCATTCATTCATTTAGTCTCACTTACCAGGTGGAGGACTGAGATTCATCTGTTTCTCCACCTCGTTCTGTAGCTCCTTCAGTTTCTCTGCCTCCTCCTCCATCTCTCGCACCCGGGCTTTAATTGCCTCCAGCTCCTGAAAAGGCAAAGTAATGCACATATACTGACTTCAACCATCAAAAAACACATATTGTTAGACATTTAACAACTGAAATGGAATATTTTGCATAACTACATTCTGAATAAATTATTTTGGCTTCCCTCATCGACAGCCACATTGGATCTATATTGCATCAATATCATGTGTTGCTGCTAAACCCATTTTGAAATGCACAGCCGATTTCTTTCCCAAAATGCACACTCATTCATTATTCTCACCAGTGATCGTGGACACAGCATGCACATGCACTTTCACACGTGATTGTGCACCGAGCTCTTTCAAACCACCATTTATTATTGTCCAGTCAGCAAGACGCCATCCGTGCACGCATTGTTGTGCGCGAGCGACCACACTTTTGGTGTGTGTTCACACGCACGCACACAAGTTTGAGCAGTGCTGCATTGCAGGGCAGTCGCACTTGGATCGCGAGTAAAGTAGCCCAGCATGTATGTGATGGCCTCTTTCACGCAGTTAAAACAAGATTTTGCATGATACGAGCTAGCATTCACAACCGATCACAAGCGCAACCAACAGTGACTAATTATTTATATACTACACATCCCCATTGCATGATGAAATAAAGTAGACATGCATTCTGCATGACCTACTCTAGCTCCAATAATGTTAATGTGCACAGAGAAAAACGCACCAGCCCAGCCCCAATGCACCACCTCCATCACAAAATCACCAACAAATGATGCAATACATCACGCGCGGCATTTAATCTTTAGCGCACATCGAATAAAATGATCGCGCCGATACAGATGTGCATTACGTTACATACAGTGCGCTTTGCCCACCGACAACTCTGTAGTTTTCCTTAATGTTACCAATTCGACGCAAAATCTGAAAATAAAAGCTTCTCACGCCTCTTAACATGTCACACACGTCGCATAAAGATTTATTCCATTGCAGAGGCCAACAACAATCACGCGCAGTTACCAACGCGACTTACTTTTGCACGCCACAAATATTACTGATCAGAAAAGAGGCGTGTTTACCGTGAGCCGTCTGCTTCTTTGCGGATGGACCCACACTGCTGCGGCTAATGGCGGCCTGTCCTACCCTCGCCCCTGTCTCTTACATCTCCCGTCTCGCATTTTGTGCGATGAAGATTTTTTCCCCCCGCTAGGTCGACAGATCTGGCGCAGAGGAACCCCGACCAATGTTGCGCCAACATGGCGGCCAGCAGCACGCATGTCACTCACTAATTCTACTGCACTGCGTGAGCCACAATGGCGGACAAACCGACCTGGCAAAACCGGTTTCGCGTAAAAATGAGTATTTAGTTTTGGTATGAAATTCACATATTTCTTTTAAATGTGAGGCTGGGGGAAGAATTTAGGATGAAAACCTATACAAAAATGTTTAACTTTTTGTTAAAGCGAGGGAAATGCGTCCTTCACTCACCGGATCTTCAATAGCGGCCTCTCCCTCGTCTAATCCCGGTTCTTCATCGCCGACGCCTGGGTCTTCAAGTTCTGAATGTCCCGGGTCTGAGTCCAGCAGAGATTCATCTGCCAGTCCGTTACCAAACTCCGCCATCGCCTGATTCCCGGTGGTCCGACGCGCCTCGTGGCTGCACTACAGGCCGCGACTCTCACAGGGGGGAGCGAGAGAGGGGTAGGGGAGGGAATAAAAAAACGGCGGAAAACGCCGCTCACTAAAGTTAAAATGGGGAATAAAAACCCGGCTCGCTTCTTCTGGAGCTCAAACGTGTCCTTCAGCGGAAAAAAACAACACTATTTATCCAAATATAAATAGGTTTCACTTCGTCAATATGTCGCACTTACTACTCTATTTACATTAGAAGACAAATTCAGAAAAGCAAATGTGTATTCTTCGCGAGGGCTCGTGTGTTCCAGAACAGAAATGGAAGCCGTAGGCGGGGATTCTGAGCACTGCAGGCGCTCCATCGACGGGTGATTGGACAATTCTTCACTTTAGACACGCCCTCTTAACGTATCGAGGACGGGTATTGGAGTTCTCTTGGGGTATTTCTCTGCGCTCGCTGCTTAGACTTTACAACAGCAACTGTGATTGGATAAAAGCAGCGTCAATCACGGCTCACAAACCACTTAGATTGAGCTACTATGCTATGTTGCCATGTCCGCACAATATAATCCACGTGGATTTATATTTTACACAAAGTTTTATAGATAATATACATTTTAACTTACTTCCAGAATACAAGCCCATATTTAGGCTTCCTAGTACTTGGCCTAAATAGCACAAATATGACCAACCACTTGTTGTCAAAGTCAGGAATAAGATTGTGCTTTTTCATTTTTTATCTCCTTCCTTCTCAGGATGTTTGTCATATTCATAAAAACTAAAATAATAAATGAAGAAAAATAAAGCATGACCACTAAAATGTCTGTCCTCACCTACTGTCTGAGTTGTTTGTTACATACTGTAATTTTACACAAAGTTTTATAGATAATACACATTTTAACTTACTTCCAGAATACAAGCCCATATTTAGGCTTCCTAGTACTTGGCCTAAATAGCACAAATATGACCAACCACTTAAAGCAGTTCAGTTGTCAAAGTCAGGAATAAGATTGTGCTTTTTCATTTTTTATCTCCTTCCTTCTCAGGATGTTTGTCATATTCATAAAAACTAAAATAATAAATGAAGAAAAATAAAGCATGACCACTAAAATGTCTGTCCTCACCTACTGTCTGAGTTGTTTGTTACATACTGTACAATTTCTTACATTTCTCCCTTTTCCATTCCCTGTGTGCACAAAAGACATTCATTTGGATTATCAGTATATATATATTTTAAATAATGTACATATCTAAAGTACATTTTCAAAATGAAATGTGCTCTTGTTTAATATATGATTTATGAGTTTTCAAATGAGATCTGGCAACAATGCAAAGCACAGTGAAATTCCTAAATCTTCAATATAACTTAACCCGAGGCCATTAAAACTATGCATATTCGTCTTACCCACTATGTGACACGAATGCTATCTCTAAGCAGGCCTACTTTTTCAGTATTTTTAGTTTTTCCTACCACATCAAGCAACATATGAAGCTCAAGCAGTGTTGGGTGACAAGATATATGCTTAAAAAAATTGTGCTCGTTTCTCAGATAATCCCTGAAAAGATAGTCCATAATAGTTATATTAATTAGTGCTTCCAACACACAACTTAAAATATGAATGTATCTACATAAATTCTAAGGGTAATTTACATAATGAAGAGAAACATCAATACATGAATTTCAGTTTATTTGTTTTCTGCATAAGAAAAAAGGAGAACCAACACAAAATGAAGGTACAAGTGAGGGGAAAACAAGCTTAATCAATACTCTAATTTTTCATAACAAGACTGCCACCATTATCGTTTAATATTCATATCAATGACATCTCGAAGTCTGAAATGCCATTAAAACCGTTATGAATCAATAATAATCAAAAGTGATGAAAGTACTGAAAAATAGTAAGTAGTACAGTTATAACAAGTGATAATCAAGTGTCAATGAAAAAGTGAAAAGATAATATAAAAGCATTTCTCCATATCCTACCGATATACTCTGAACAGTGCAACACCGTGTGATCCCACGTCCTGTAGCACTGCACTACAACCCAGTCCATGTTCTTTTCATATGAGCTACAACTTGACACTAGTTGAAGAAAAACAACTTGTATTTGCTGGGATATATACCGAAAACAAAACTTTTCTATGAACTTCAAGTGTTCCAAGCCGAGTTGTCTGAAATGCATTTCTCTGTAGCTCATGCTTAAACCCTGGACTAAGTTCAAAGTGTCAAGGCATGGGAGCTCCATTTGCGGTTTGCATCACGAACACTTCCAATCAAGATTGCTTTTTGGTTTCTTTAATGACACAAAGCAAGAAGAATAACAACTTTGGAATATCATTTTCTTAATATAGTTCATTAGAAAATCTTTTTTAGTTTTGCATTTTGTTAAAGTATTAATAGTATCAATAATATTATACAAAATAAACCAAAAAGGAAAATCGTCTTTAGTATTTCATGTCCTTCAAATCACACCTCCTCTTGCCCTGATGAGTAGTTTCCAGGTTCACTAAAGCACCCTGTCTTCTCTTTTGGTGGGTTTTAAGAAAAATACTTGAATCTACTCAGTATGAGCACTCAGTTCGCAACAACACAAAACGCAGAAAAAAAGATGACAACTCTCTCCCATAATTCTAAAACGCTTTTGCTCTTACCATAAATAAATGACTTTTGTGTTTAATTTATATCGACAAGCTGGGGTTACTCCCTAAAAATTCAAACCAAACGAAATGGTTTATCAGAGGGTGTAAGGTATATAATTTCGATGTTCCACAAATCCATATAAAATTGTGTAAGTACAGATTTGACTTTGGCTTCGTGCACAGCGGCTAGGTCTGATCCATATTTTTTATCTGTGTTTAACTATGTGCAATGCAAACCCTTTAAAAATAACATTAAAAGCTGATTAATACTTCATTATAGTTTGACATACAGTAAGATTTCACCATACAACAAAATTATGTTTATTTTGCGGAACACGAAAACCTTAAAAAAAAAACGTTGGACTTTAAAAGGGTCAAAGTGCTGTATGATGACCATCTGACATCTTGAACTTTCAATGCGAGCTCTGCTGATGACTACGGGATTGTCATGATGGTTGTTCAAAAATAGCTATCGTATTGTTAACAACGTCCTCGTTTTAATGCATCTGGATTCAGAACACTCTCCCAAAATCTCCATATTCCAGAAGACACATTCTCAGTCTTACTTGTCATTTCATTACCATCTACCATTAGCGTGGTCTAGTTATTTCTTTCAAATGAGCCAGAAGGAGAACTTCTGTTTACAGAATAAATTTCTTTGAATTAACAAGACAATTGGAGATAAATCAGCTTAGAAAAACAACTCTTCTATATAGGCTTTAAAACAGGCTAAAGACCACCCTGGCTCAAGCAAAAGCAGTACCACAAACATAATTGAGAACCCAGAGCACTTTGGTTGAGCTTTTGGGTGCTTCATTACCATAGATTCTCCCAATCAAACAAAGTGTTTTGTGTAAACGTGAGTAGAAAAACACCCAACACAATAGGAGTTTAAACCGGGATGACGTTGTGAAGACGGACCATAATCACATAAGCATTAGCATGTCCATGATTACCATTTCAGTCGATTATTTATAGTAAAATGATGCTGTGGCAATAGGTCATTAAAAGGAGCCCTGTAAGCAAAGACTCTATATCATAATAATAACAATGTCTCGCTGATATCCAAGGAGAGAGAGAGAAGATGGCCAGTGTCAACTGGGCCTGCTCCAATTTTAGAGCCTCAAAAGAACATTAGCTTAAAAGACCAGCACCCATCTTCTGTCTATTAAAAGCCAACAAGTTTAGTGGGTTCACAGACAATACCAGCTTCAATTCATTGTTTAGCTGGAGCTGCTAGCTGGTGATGGGGTAGAAGACTGGCTGGCAACACCAGTAGACCCCATACCAGATCCATTGCTGACCAATGATGCTTGCTGACCAAAGTTAGTGGTTCTCAGAGTGGCAAGATGTCGAGCCGAGAAGACATGGTCACGTGCTGCAGCCCTGGATTCGAATTCAACCCCACAGGCATCGCACTTGCCTCTCAGAGTCTCACGGCCTGTTGTCTGGCCGATGATATATGATGGAGTTGGATCCATAACTGTCAGTTGTACAGGTTTGGGCAGGATGGGGCGGTTGGCTCGGAGAGCATTATATTGTAGGTAGCTACCCGAGCTGATGTCTACCTTCTTAGAAGGGTCATTGGGATTAGGAGACTGCGTGAGGATGTAAAAAAATATATATAATAAATAAACAAAATTTTGTTAGTTTAATTTAATTAAAATAAAAAAATAATGCTAAGCAATACCAATAAAAATAAAGAAAAGTGAAAAATTAAATGAGAATCCCTCTGTTTTAAAGGAAAAAATTTGGTCATTTACCATTTGTACCAAGATGAATAAGAAATTCTATTCTTACAATCTTTTTACTTAAAGGGATAGTTCACCCAAAAAGGACAAATCTGTCATTAATTACCCACCCTCATGTCGTTCCAAACCCGTAAGACCTTCGGTTCATCTTCGGAACACAAATTAAAATATTTTTGATGAAATCCGAGACCTTTCTGACCCCCCATAGACATCAACGCAACTACAGATTTCAAACCCAGAAAGGTAGTAAGGACATCATTAAAATAGTCCATGTGACATCAGTGGTTCAACCACAACATTATAAAGCTACAAGAATACAATAATTTTTATGTGCTCAAAGAAAACAAAAGTAATGACTTCATTCAACAATTTCTTCTCTTCCGTGTCAGTTGATGCACATTCGACACATGCGTGTGGTGCTGCTGACGCAGTAGCCAGCGTTCTGATGTAGAACCCGGCTTACTTATCTGAACCAGAATATACAGATGATGAACTAAGAGATGTACGTTCTACGTCAGAACTCTAACTACTGCGTCAGCAGCACCACATGCATGTGTCGTGGTACTCTCTTGAATGCATGGAGGAGACTGACACAGAAGAAATTGTTGAATTAAGTCATTATTTTTGTTTTCTTTGCGCACAAAAAGTATTCTTGTAGCTTAATAGCATTATAGATGAACCACTGATGTCACATGCACTATTTTAATGATGTCCTTACTAACTGTCTGGGCTTTGAACGTGTCAGCTGCGTTGCTGTCTATGGAGGGTCAGAAAGCTCTCGGATTTCATCACAGATATCTTAATTTGTGTTCCGAAAATGAACGAATGTAATACGGGTTTGGAATGACATAAGGGTGAGTAATTAATGACAGAATTTTCATTTTTGGGTGAACTATCCCTTTAAGCAATTAATGTAAAAAAAAAAAAAAAATTTTTTT